TGAATTTTTACTCTGTGCAGAGGACACACCAAACACCTTCTACATCTGTACTGTTCCAGTCCCCCCCCTACTCCCAGAGCATGCTTCGGCATCTGTATGTTGTGCAACATTCTTCTTTGTTGAACTCTCACTATTTAATTCTTGCCTCTGCCTTCACTTGCTTTCTCTGATTTCTAAAGTCCTATTACAGACTACCATCCAACGTTAGACAGCTATATTTTCCCCTGATGCAACTTTGAAGTCTTCTGTCTCTTTCAGATTGCACCTTCTGCAGAAGAAGTAATCTAGCGGTCCCCAACCTTTTTTGCGCCACGGACCGGTTTATGCCCGGTGTTGTGCAAAATCTGTTAGCATCCATACTTCTGCATTTCTCTCCTTAACACCCTACCTACTCTTTCACAGTCTTCTCCATTTTCTTTTTTTAAATAAATAGACCAGTTTTTATATAGCTTTTCTGCTCTATCTGAACTTCACACAAATTGTACATTCACCAACCCGCATCTATCTAACATTCAACATTAATGGGGTTAGTATCTTGGTATGCAGACTGGAGGAGACTGGGATCAAACCACCAACCTTCCGGTTAGTAGGCGACCTGCTCTCCTACCTGAGCTACAGACACCCCACACAGACCGCTCTTATCATCAATCTGTTCCCCCATAGATCAATTAATCTATCTATGAAACTGTATATAGTAATGTATATAGTAATAGTGTAATGTGAGAGTCTCTGGGGAATAATTTACATTTTAAGTAAGCCTCAAATGGGACTTCTAAAACTTGCTCTCAGCCCCAGAGGGTACAGCTTAGTAAAAACTTAGCAAAAACCTTTTGTAGACTCCATGTAAGTAATCACCCCTCCTGCAGCCACCTGTGTTAGGAATCACATGAGATAAAAGGAGCACACTTGTGTAAAGTCTAAGAGTTCCAGTCTCTGTGTATAGACACTATAGATACTCATATATTTGTATTGTAAATATGTGTATTTGTCTGTATTCTGAGTATATTTTTCAATCTGTAAATCACATCTGCGTAAATAGTTTGATGACTTCACTATCTTTTTTTTTTTGTGACTGCTGCCTTTAGGGGTCGCCAGATCCTATATGCAAAAGTGCTTTCGGTTCTGGAAAAACGCATCTTCATTTTGTGTTGTCAGCAGCTGAGGTGGCAAAAGCACAGACTTTCTTCACTTACCTAGATGTACAGATAGCTGCAGTACTTCAACAATAAAAAGCTGAAGTACTGCAGCAACGTTTTTATTTAAGTAAAAGGGAAAAAGTACAGGCTTTCAAATGTACTTAGATTAAGAAAGTAAAAGGTAGCTCCTTAATGGATAATTCTACTAACAGCTTTTGTGCAAAGGTAGCTGAACCTTGGGATATGTTAATATGATAATAAAATAATATTAGTACATGATAATACAAATATTGTTCAAATTTAAAGTCTAATTCTAATGAATTTACTTAGCTTGAAGTGTGTTGTCTAGGACACATGCAGTGAAAAATATTTTATATATGTATATTTATCTTCCCCTGATTTGTAGAGGGTGACTTTGCCTCCACACATAAACAGTAAAATAAGATCAGTCAGGCGTTACAGTGGAATTCAGCAGGTTGGGAAACCCGAAGGTCAGTGTAGTGGTTCAGCATGGAGAAAAGAATCACAACTTACAATAATTTCTAATGTGAGCTTCAGTGGGTTTTCTTAGTGTACACGTTATGATCAACTGACCTGCTGCTCTTTGGGGATTTACACAGCCAAATTTAACAAGATGTCTGCAGTTTCACTAGCTTTGATGGTTCATGTCCATCCTCTGCACTGAAAGTCTTTATACTATACAGTATGCGGTTGGTATAAAGCTGGAATTCAGTGATTGAGTCTGAATTCATCATTGTAAATGCAAATTTATTTCTGCATTTAATATAACCTAAATCTTACCATGAGCACCAAAGCCACTGTGCACAAGTCCAACACAGAACTTTACTGTGAATTCACCACAGTACTGCAAACTAACCTGTTTATCCTGAACAAAACTACCCAGTATTTTCAGGCAACATCTGAATAACACAAAGTTTGTATAGCTTTGCTTTGCAGAACGCTTCACAACATGAAAATATATAATTCCTCGACACACATCATATACACATGCAATATGTGATCAAAATTAAGACATTACAAGTAGGCTTTAAATTTGCAGTTCATCAAACACCCCTGAGCAGCCCTTACCTTTAAATCTAACCTCTCTTCTTCCTGTTTTTCTTATCTTTCTCCATCCCTGAGTGAAGTTAGCTCTCTCTCTTTTCTCTCGATGTGAAATACAACAGCTGGATCTTTAGCTGCAACACACTGTGAGACAAACTGCACACAAACAGTTTGTGTGTTTGCTGATGTTTGTTGAGCTGACATTGAATTTGAAATTACCTGACACTTAAAAATCGTCATTCTTTTCATGCTTCCTCCTATTCTTTTGCACTAGCTAGAGTTTTGAAGTAGTCCTTCCGGTCACTTTAACTCCTGTGTATAAACGCTATAGATGATACTGCTGAACCTAAACTAATGAGTCTGTTTTGAAAATGCAAAGAGTAGAAAGTACAGATATTTGTTTAAAAATGTAGGGAGTAAAAGTAAAAAGTTGTCAGAAAAAGAAATACTCAAGTAAAATACCTGAAAATTCTACTAAAGTACAGTAATATTGTAGAGTATGTGTTACTTCCCACTTCTGTCAATCAGGCAAACTTAAGCTGCTGCAGGAACTGTATGAGAATGGGAAATGGTGCGTGATGGTCCCTGGGTTGTTGACCTGCTGTTTTGAGTTTTGTCATTTCCTTTTTCTTTTTGAGTTTGGTGAAGTGGTTATAGTCCTCGTTCTTATTAATTGTGCTTTGTGCTTTTGTTCCACTTATTGAGCTTATTATATTTCTTCTTTCAGTTTAAACCGTCTCGCCAAGTGTTCCCCGTCTATGCTTTAGTATCTGTCAGTGATGTCCCCTTGTTTAGTTCTTCATGAGTTATTTTGTTAGTCATCTGTGCTTGTGCTTTGTTTATACTTACTTCCTATGTCTCATTATTAGATTTAGTTCAGCTCTGTGTTTTTTACAGGTGTTTCCACTTTGGCCACATCCCAATTTATATTTACTCCCTCAGTTGTTCTTAGCTCATTGTCATGTCATCCTGTTCCCCTCTGCCTATTTCCAATCTCACCCGGCATTTGTCTCCACCCATTCCTCCCTACCTGCCCTCTCTTCTTCACCGCTCTTGTGAAAAATCTTTTGCTTTGGATGTTTGACCTCAGGTATTTAAAATTAGCTACCTTCACTATCTTAAATCCTTGAAGCTTCAAAGTTAAGAGATACGTATCTGTTTCCAAAATATGAATTATGATTTCATACAACAACTGATTTCTGAAAATCTGTTTGAGACACAGACATGTGTAACATGGTTTGAACATTAGCAGAAATCTAAATTGTTAAAGAGTTTTTGAACAAAATGAACTATTAGCCAGGGTCATCTGCCTAATCATAATAAATTACCTAGCCTGAAGTGCAAGCGTCATGGGTCCATTTCATCTTGCACCTGCAGATGACTCAATGGATCCCCTTTTATTCTTCATGAGGTTAGAAGAGTATCAGCATGCCAAATAACCCATTAACCAAATGGTTAATGGGTTATTTGGCATGAAAAACTCACTTCTTGTCTAAATAGACAAGAAGTGTGTTACAGGAAAAATGTCTCATTGTGTCTTTATTTCTCCTGGGTTTTTTACAGAGTTTTCCCCCAACAAAGTGAGTTTTCATGCCTCTAAACTGTATTTTTATTCATATATGTAATGGCTGAATTACAAACATTCTGAAAAGAAGAATGGACCAGAATTCCTCCACAGTGATCTGGAAGACCCACTGAAAGTTAAAGAAAGAAAGAAAAAGAAAATATTTAAAGTGGGATAATGTAACAAGGTGATATAGAAACTACAATCTGTGGAAAGAAGGATGGGGGCTCATTCAAATTCATTCGTGAAAGAGAATAAGTACCATATTGTGTTATAATATATACTATATTATCGTACATCTGTTGATATGTCCAATAATGTACATCTGTTTGACTGACACTATTTCAGTCAGACTTTTAATGCCCACTTTTGCCATATTTCAGAAAGAAACCATAGAAGAGCAATGTCATACTAAACGCATCAATTTTGACAATAAAGAGAGGACAATTAATTATTAATTAGTCATAAAACTGAGTCAGAAGCTGTCATTCTGTCATTTTTTTGTCTTTCTCTTGTTTTGTATATATTCCTCTTGACTGTATATATATTTTTCTGTTTTCTATTTATTCTTTATGTCTTTAGTATTCATATTTTTTACTCAAGCACAGTTGGCCTGGAGCACCCATAATTTCGTTGTACATGTACAATGACCATAAAGGGCTTTTCTGTTCTATTCCAAAATTCATCTCTATGACCCCATGTTCGTTTCTACACATGTGGTACAATGGATATTAATAATCATTCTTAACTAGCATTCAGACGTGTCAGATGTATTAGGTAACTTGGCGATTCTAAATGGGCTGCAGGTGTGAAAGCCAATGGCTCTCTGTCGCTCTGTCAGCCAGACCAAGATACTCAATATGGTGAAAACATTTTTCGGTCGAATTCCTACTAATATTTCATCCATACTAATATTTTTTTTGATTGCATGCACTTTTATTCCACCTATTTTCAGGCTGCACCTTCACCAAGGATCAATTAAATAAGAGTAGCTGCTATCACGCTGAATCTTACTGATGCTGTTATAAAGGATTTACCTCTTTCTTCGACTAAATTAATAAATAATCAAAAAATAACAATACAATGCATGGAAATACATTTCTCATGACTTATTTAAATACATTGTTACTCTTTAAACCATTAAATATAATTAACTATGAAGTAATACATCAAATAGGCCTACGATCAAATATTACGATTAAACACTGGTGAAAATCAAGAAAAGACAACCTTCATTTCAAAAGTATTATTCAGTTTTATTTCAGGATATCAATAATAATTCAATTTCAGCCAAAATAATTCTGGTAATAACATAAAAACATTAATTTTCTCTTTGTACCTTAAATTTAAGGCTTTCGTCTGATTTCTTGTGGCCTCCGATGAGTTGCAGGCGTGTGCGGCAGCCAGCCAATAATATCATCGGAAAATAAACCCATAACGAACCATTGGCTCGGTGAGTTTAACCACGTGCCAACTGACGTCACCTGATTTCTGCAAATAATTTTCCAGACCACGCCCACACAAACAAGTCCTTTAGAGTGCTTATTAATATTCATTATGTTAGACACTTTTGAACGCAAATAAATGCGGCATCCACGGGGATGAACTAATTGAAAGTAAAAATAAAAGTACAAGAATATATAATGGCTAAGCAGACCATCTGAAACCAGGACAAATATAGTTTTATTATCTCTCTTGCAGACAGAGAAAACAACATTCATATGTAAAAATAATAATTAGTTTCTCTTTGGCCATATTTCTCTCCATCAACTAACAAAACATGAAATGTCTTTTAAAATCTTTAATTATCATCACAACAGTAGAATAGACAATATTCTTTGTAACTCTGGCCACAGGATCCTGTGCACTTTTTTATTTATTTATTTTTATCTTTTTTAAGCTCCCATTGGTTCTAAAATTCATTCACATGTGCAGACTTTCCTTAAATTAGATTTCCTGCATCTGTACCACAGTGCCTTCTTAGTGTCATAAAACATAACTGCATTTGCTTTTGGGCTTCAAAGAAGCATTATGGAAATCATGAGTGTAACGAGTCAATAGAAACTCAATACAACAAACTTTTAGTATTACCTTCTGTATTCTTGTAGTGTTGTAATAGAAATTAATTTGGCTTTGTAATATTGTTGACACAGTCAAACACACACACACACACACACACACACAACGTGAAAGGGGGGGGGGGGGGGGAGCATTACTCTTCAAAGAAACCCAGGAGCCACGATCAGTTCGGTGGGACTGAGAACAATGTTGTTCCACCAATCTCTTGCACTTCTTTTGATAATTCAGGTACTGGATAGCTGCCTGCATATTACTTATGATAATAAAATAAGAAATGTCATTTGGCTTGCTAAATGGCACCTCCACATATGGGCTATGTTTACTCCCAAATGAATTAAATACTTGTCACACACAATAGAAAAAAAATGTCACAAAAAACACACCTAAGGCAGCCTATTGGCCATCACTTCAGTAACATCCATCCCTTCAGTTGGGCCCTGTAAAATAGCTTTGGGACTGGAAACATTCTTTTTGGAAAATCAGATTTGTTTTCAGTCATTTCAGTATAGACCATTTGATCTGCTCCTTGGCTGACTGCAAAACCTGCAAAAGTAAAAAATGAAAGAAAATTATATAATAACAAAACATGAATGACAACTGCTTTATAAACAAACAGAAAATGCAACCTTTGTGTAGTATGCACATATATCATTTAATGTGTTTATTCTAACTTCTGATATGTATTTGGTTTAGGCATCAGAAATAGTTCGTTTTAGGAAAAGATTGGGTTTAGACTATAGTGACTTAGTTATAACACTGCTCGTTCTGTTGCTCTCATATATGTGTTACAGAAGTTTTTGAAACCTTAACACAGTCCAGTATTACCCTTTACATTACAATATAATGTCAAAAAGTATCTTACCGGAGAATACAAGTCTGTTTAGTAAAGGTAGAGTGGTTCTAATGCTTTACATAACTGAGAACTTCTGCACAGTAAAGCATGGTGCTACAGTACGACTGTTTAAACACTAGAGGGCAGGCTGAGCTTATGCTCACAACCATGTGAAGTCATGCCACCATGTTAAAGCACAACAAAATCGTAATACAAAACACATCTTTGTTCTACTGCCACTAAATAAATACAGTGGGTTAATGTTTTCAAAATCTACATGTTTCAACAGCTTGTTCTTGTATGTTCTTTACTGGTTTATCTTTTAACTGTTTTTCAGTCCTTAGAAGAGGTTAAATTACAGCAGTGAGAAATCGGCCAGCAGGTGGCGCACTAAGCTCAAATTTAAAGGCCCTTGATTCAGTATGGCATATAAAGGCAGCCTAATGTGCAGCGTGTCTATTGTGTTGATCACGTAAAAACGTTAGATGCACGTTAGAGTCAAGCTATACTGCAAGTTGTGTTTAGTCAATAGCATTGCATTGGTCAAGATCTACAAGCTGTCAAATTTCTATCATCATGTACAGGCAGCATAATTAGAAACTAATGGAAATGAGATGAGAATGTCAACCCAGGTATGAACGTTCATAGCTTATAATCTTTTCAAAAACTATTTTAATTTGAGTAAATGGGGAAAACACACGAGTGGACATGATCTCTGAGTTTAGTATTCAGCTCTCCTCCATCTGTCCATCAATCAAGATAAATAATAAATGTGCATGGCAAATATTCTCGGCCAAAAAACTAACCGCAAGTTGCTCTCCGATGCATCCATCGGCGCATGAATGAATGTCAGATATAAAGCACTTTAGCAGAAAAAGCATTAAAATGCTTGTATGAATGGGTGAATGAGGCAAGTTGTAGAAAAGCACTATATAAGAACCAGTCCATTTACCATGTGACTAAAACTTTGGAAATATGTGAGGTCAGGCATTGTCTGTTATAGCTCAAAGCATAATTGTAATTGCTCAGTCAGCAATTGATACGTCAACTAGAGAATCTCCTCTTCTGCCACTAATGGTTATCCTCCTTTTCTTCATTGTGGTGTGTCAGGTATAGAGCATTAGCTTTTTTGGGGGTGACATTATTAAATGCCTTTATGTCCTTCCAGTGCCTCTAAAACAGCTCCGACCCACTGAAGGATTGATTTTACAATTAAAACTGCCTTGAAAAGACTGTTGTTGCAAATTGGTGCTATATAAATAAAACTGAACTGAATTGAACTGCATTTGTGTATGCATGTGATGCCTTCATGTTTGTGTGTATAGCTTTGGCAGTGATATTCACAGAGTCTGTTTGCTTGTGTATTACCTGAGCCACGCTTTGTTCAGTTAATGGGTTCTCATCCGCCTGTAATCAAAATGACATGAAAAAAAGTCAAATACTTAACACACACACACACACACACACACACACACACACACACACACACACACACACACACACAGTGCATTAGATCTGTGGAACAAAGAATAGCACACTATAACCCAGTGACATTCAAACAGTGCTAGTTAACAGTTCAACCAGTCACAATTCATAGTGGAGCTTGTAGCCATGCTTGTGGTGTAGCTTCAGGGCAAGCACCGTCTGGTATGCAATCATTCACTTTAATTATCTGATGGACACAGTTCCCAGAGAATAACTCTTTTCACTTGGATGATGTCTTCAGTGTTACTCTAGCGCCACCAGCAGGTCATAGTTATCAAGTATAGAAAAATAACGTGTTAGTCCACATGCTCTCCCACCATGCATTTACCTTTTCTGTTTTGCCCATTCCTCCTTCCTCCCTTCACTGAGTCTTACTCCTTCTCATCCATTCATTCTTTCTCTCTCACTCACTCACTCTTTCTCTCTCTCCACGTCACTATCTTTCACATTGGCCTTCTTCCTCTCTCACCCTCGGTCTGTCTGTCTGTCTACAGCAGCTGGCTCCTGTCTGTTTGTGCCTCTAGGTTACCGGTGATGTAATCAAAGAGGACGAAGCCATAGGCTGGCTCTGACATTAGCTGACACCAATCAGAAGAAGAGAGAGAGGGAGAAGGACAGGAAGAAAAGTAAAACAGGGAAGAGAAGGCAAGAAGCAAGTCAAAAAAGCTAAAGGGAGCTACAGCAAATCTTGATGTAGCCGTTCTAATCAGACCAAACACCTGCATTGATTTGTATTTCTACAATCTAACACACTTGTTTTCTGTTTGAATTTCCAATGGTTATACTGATACAATAGGTTTTGGGGAATAACTGACAGAAATCTTACCCTGTAGTTGACTTTCTGTAGGACCTGCTGTGGATCACTCTCCAGAATCACCCTGGCAACAGGAAAAAACAACCAATAAGGGTAGAGTTCTGTATAAGCAGGACTGGGATTGCTTATGGGATCATGGCATTTTACATACTAAACATTTTTTTATTTTAATAATAGAAATACCTATCATCATTTTGCCTATAAATATCAGGCAAAATGATCAAAAGGGACTCATATTGACTATTCTAGTTGGATAAACTTTTCTTTCTCTCACCCCCCATCAATGATTTCATCCACAACAAGAAACACTCCTTCCATGTTTTCCAATAAACACCTCCGCTCCACATTTTTCCTGCAGGATAAATAAAAGAATTACACTCGTCATTAGACACGTTACTTATGATCTCATATGATCATCATCATTTTAAGTTAAAGTTTTTATTCCTCTAACTTAAGTAACTTAAAGTATTCACATTTCTGGCTTTTTAAAAACCCATTATTGCTTTATTTTTATTTTTTGCCCTCACAATAGCTCAATCTCTCCTTAGTCTCAGTTACTCACACACTGCATTACTATTGCATTGGTTCCCATAGTAACCATACCCATCATTGTTTGACTAATGTTGCAATAAACAGTGAGGGACTCTGGTATGAGCTTTAAAATGAAAAAGGAGTACTATTTGTCATTTAGTTTAATTTATTTATTAAATATAATTATTTATATTTCACATTATTTATTATAACACTTTGATGCTACTGAGGCTACATGGAGGACAAAAGCTCTAATTCATTTGCATGAAGAAAAGTCTGAAAAAGAAGATTGTGAATTTCTCTATTTGGGCTCTGATTACCTCTGTATCGTTCTAAACATCATTACAAAATATCAATGAAACCACTCACTTATGGAGTTTTTCTTTTTTCTTTTTGAAAACAAAAAACCTTTTTTTGAAGACAGTACCTGAGGATGTGACTGGTGGAGTCAAACAGGCAGTTAAGTACTGACATCAGCATGAGCTACCAAGAAAAAAAGAAAAGTCAGTATATGAGATAAAAAGATATAAATCAATGCAAATTGATGTTAAAGCAGAATCAATTAGATTTCATGGCCTAAATAAGCTAAATACTGCACATTCAACATATACCAGCTTAGCAAAGTATATAGGTCAGAGGTGTCGAACTCCAGGCCTCGAGGGCCGGTGTCCTGCAGGTTTTAGATCTCAATCTGGGTCAACACACCTGAATCAAATGATTAGTTCATTATCAGGCTTCTGGAGAACTTCAAGACATGTTGAGGAGGTCATTTAGCCATTTAACCTGCAGGATACCGGCCCTCGAGCCCTGGATTTCGACACCTGTGATATCGGTGAATATGCTGCTCATGAGAAGTGTTCTTTATTAATCATTATAGGTTTAAAACTTTCCAACCAAGCTGTAACCCAAAATAATCTCCACACAACTGCAACATATAGAACAATCCCTGAAAATAGCTTAAAAAAAATCCATAAATCCCACAGGCTGTACAAATGAAAGAGACTGTAGCTAACTGAACCTTTATGGTAAATGTTACTGCCCTGAAGCACCTCAATTTGAAGAGCAATTACTAGACTAATTAAGTAGATTTCATGGAGTATCTTATTTTTCCTTGAAAATAATCTTTAGCATTTTACAATAGAAATCATTATTATGTGAAGGTATCGCCAAGTTTTCAATTGTAGTGTATAAACACACAACTTTTTCCAGGTTTTTTTCCGTCTTTACTTTTTTTTTTTTTGCATTGCACCAAAGAGTATTTATAGAAACACATAAATACTATATTTATGTATTTCTATAATACATAATACAATAAAATATATTGTATTTTGTCTACAATATATTGTAGACAAAATATATTTATATATTTGATACTCGATGCTTTGCACATTATTGTTATTGTCTTTAACAGCTTAGTCATAATGAAGCAAAGCACCTGGATGAGTAGCTTTTCCAAAAATGTAACTTTTATTGTACTGTAAAGACCCTACAATAATAGGAAAACAGAGATAATCTCAACAATCATATGACCCTCTATGAGTGACAGCTTTGGCAATAATGGGGAGGGAAAACTCCTTTTTAACAGGAAGAAACTTCGAGCAGAACCAGGCTCAGGGAGCGGCGTCCATCTGCCGCGACCGGTTGGTGTGAGAGAAGGACGACAGGATAACGACATGCTGCGGAGCTCGTGCTACGTTTTAGGTTTTTGAAATATTTTATAGTCTTCTAGAAATTTGGACAATTGACTTCATTTGATTAACTTTAAGGAGTATTTTACTTCTAACACTGAATTATTAAACTTCAAATAACCCCCAACAACGTTCTAACAGAGCAAAGAAAACCCCAGCACTGTCTTTGCTTCTTATATTCCTAAAATGTTCATTCTTACTTTGGCTCAGTGTCCAGTGGACATGTTGACCTATTCAAGGTTTTTTGTTTTTTGCTTTCTTTGCCTGTTTGTCTTAATGTCAGTGAAACATTAATCTGACTCTGAGAATGCTGCATAAGAAATGCAACCTTTCTGTGACACCAGAGCAGGCAACTGAATTTAGAAACAACAAGTAATTACCTTTAAACTGTCTTGTGTGCCTACAGCTGAAAATTCCATAAAAAATATTGATATGAGCCTAACTCTTGTTAAGAGGTTACTACTGTAACTTATGTGATTTGTGTGAAAAATAATATTGGATGAATTTGTTGTTTAAGAGCTGAGAAGAAACAAGAAACCGTCTGGTGACATGGAACACATGACATTCTGCCTTCAGAATACAAAGCAGAATAAAATAAAATAAAAAAAATAAAAAAATAAAAGCACGCTTATGTGAGTAAACATTTGAACAAAAATGACTGAGATCCTTTTAAAACATATGCAGATGAACTTGACGTAACATATTCACAATGAATTTTAATTTTATTACTGCAGATGTACTTTATTGGCAGACAAAATTTAATTCACCTCATTTTCCTGAGCACTTCCCACAACGTAGAAGAAAAGATCTATACTGCTCTTGTACACGATGGTCATGCCTTCCAGAAAAGCTATTTCATCTAGATAGAGAATGAGACGTGACAGGGTTAGCATAAGCATGACTTTATTAATTTGCTTCTATATAGAAGTGTAAAATAAAGTTTATTCAGTGACACAACTGCCAAATATATAGTGACAGGCAAGCAAAGGGGTGAGAGGGAAAGAAGGCAGAGACGAGTGACAGAAAAGCAATTAGACAGAAACTTGATATAAAGAGAGGAAGGAGATGAGTCGGAGAAACAAATGATACAAATGAATGTTGGGAAGGAGTGGAACTGATAGATAAAACATAAAAGGGGAGAAGAAAGACAAAGCAGAAGTGGAGAAAATAAGGAATGAAGATTAGGACAAAAGGAGAGATAGTGGCAACGTGTTAAAGAGGCCAGGGGTAGAGACTCAGGTATCAGTTGGGTGAAACTTGGAATCCTACAAAAAAGCTTATGGGTAGGTCAGGTTTTTCACCCAAATGAATGAAAACCCAAAAGTTTTACAAGGGTAATACCAACTACAGCGTTCTGCCACAAATAATGGTCTAGCATGGTTTGGCGGGTGGAAACCAGGTCAATGTAAAAAGTGATTTAGGTTACAAGTGACAAGAGAGTGTGTAACAGTCTGGACACTGGAGACGTCTGTGAACATTCAGCACAATACAAAGGGAGGGAGCGACGGGTGGGGGTGGGGGCGCATGCATCACACACCAGAACAGATCTACATAAAACAGAAGAGAGTGGAACTTACTGTCTGCTTTGTGTGTCTTGTTAAAAACATTCCTTTCAAAGGTTTTCTGCTCCTTCATGGAGGGGTAAAGCTCTGGGTCATAGTACTAAAACAGGAACTTTTATGAGTGACTCAGTTTACTTACATAGTGCGTTGCTAATAAATTCTAAACTTGATAGTTAAACTTTACCAGTTAGTATTTACTGTTACAAACAATGAAATCAACTCAATCAAATGCACCCCTAACCCACACAAACATATCAGCGGCATCCTTTGCACTCACTGTTAGTTACTTTAATCAAGTTGAAGCTGAGAAATCTTTTCTCAGGTTTATCTACTTCGGCCATAGCCACTTATTATTTCTGACTGTAGGTAGACGACTCAGCTGGTGATAATCAGGGCAGTCGTTATTTGTGAATCAGTCACTGAAAACTCAGATTTTGTTTTGTTTGGAAATTTCCAAGCTAGTTGGTAAGCTAACTGACTGGTTTCATATTTACTCTACAGACATCGCTTGTCCTATTTTCTGTCTTCGCTTCTCATTCAC